ACGTTAGAATCGTATTTTTTGGGTTGATTTGTTGGATATTTTCTTTTTAACACAGAAACACCAGAAGCTGTGTAAAGTTGCAAAGACAGTTCCAGATTCATTATGACACCCAGAACCAAAAATCAAACCCCTCATCTGTGGCTCACAGCGTACGACCCAGTCCAAATTCAGAGTTATAGCGAATTATTATACAAGTGCATTATTTACATAATGAATGCTTCCCTTTATTATTATTTATGTATGTATTTATTTATCATTTATGGTGCATATAGTTATTTTTTTCTACCTATATGTTAACAAATAAATATCTCTGTGAAGTAAACAATGAAATAAATGTATAACCAAATTATATAATAATTGAAAAACAAAGATTTTTATTTGAAAATTTTTCAAATGACCACTATTATTTATTTCCTATCACCTACTTTTGTTTCTTCATTTCAAAGGAATGTTTGGTTAATTATTTATGTGTTGATTTATTTCTGTTTGTCTTTTTTATGTTTAATTTTTTAATTTTACTACCTAAGTTGCTAAAGTAATATATTGAGTATATGCACTGTGCAGCATGAAAAGGGTGGTGTCAACATGTCACATATACAAATAAATAAATATGGCTATTAGGTAAATGCTATAATTTAATAAACGGGTTTTTATTTCTATCTTTATTTATTTTAAGATATTTTTATTTCCTAAAGTTATGTCTATTTAGTTGGAATTTTTTTGTTTTTTAATTTATAGGAATTTTTGTGTGTTTATTAATGTACATATACAAATAAATAAATATTGGGTAAATCCTGAAATAAATGTAATCTAATAAACAGGTTTTTATTTCTAAATGGACAACCTTTGTTTATTTTAAGATATTTTTATTTCCTAATGTCATGGGTATTTAGTAGAATTATTTATGTTTTTAATTCACATGAATGTTTGAGTGTTTATTTATGTATTCATTTATTTATGTATTAATTTATTGATTGAATATTGATTCAAACTGCGCTCCATGCAGTACAGGGCCCGGACACCAGAGGGCGCTGCGGCACCGCGCCTCACTCCTCGGCTGGTGTTCAGTGTTCAACCAACCCGGCTGGTTAGTTAGCGCTAACTAACCCTCATCTCACCCTGTCAGCGCTCAACCGGTCCAGCAGGAGCAGCTCAAAGTGGAGGTTTTCACCCACCGAGCAGCTGCGAGTCTGGAAACGGGCGTGACAACAACGACAACAACAACAAAACAACAACAACAACAACAACAGCAGCAGCAGCAGCAGCGGTGCTTCCTGGATGTAGCTGTCCGCCTCCAGCATCAGTTTACCGGAGAACCGCTTCATCAGCAGGTCGGTAGCTTCGCTCAGCAGCTGTCCGGGGATGTTTCTCCAGTGTTCCGGTCTGTCCGCAGACAAACTGTCCGTCTAACCGGAGCTCTGATCGGTGTAGCCGCCGTTAGCTAAAGTTCCAGCTAGCATGAATGGACCGTTAGCCTGCTAGCTGCTAACGCCGCTGCTTCTTCTTCTTCTTCTTCTGTGTTTGTCTGCGAAGCTTTAGTATGAGCGAAGGAGAGGTGTTCCATGAGAAGCAACGACTGGAGCTGTGCGCGATCCATGCACTCAACAACGTGCTCCAGGAGCGAGTGTTCACCAAGGAGACGGCCGACGACATCTGCAAACGGTGGGCTAAGGCTGCGGCGGAGGGTCGCTGTGTGTGGAGGGGCGATGGGAGCGTTTCACAGGGAGCACGTTTACCCCCCAAAACCTCCAACTCTCACACTTTTACTGTAAAACTCCTGTCTTAGTCCTCACGGCTGCAACTAACAGTTGTTTTCCCGTTTTATGGATCAGCTGTTTGGTCTCTAAAATGTGAGAAAATGGTGAAAAATGAGGATCAGAGTTTCCTAAAAGGTCTTGTTGCATCCAAAGATATTCAGTTTACTGTCACTCACATTCAGGAAGCTACAATCACAGAGTTAAGACGTTTTTTCCTTTAAAAAATGAAGCTTTAGGTGGTTAATTGAGTTTCTGACTGCTGGTTGAACAAAATAAGTCTATGAAAGGGTCTGAAATGGTAGAAAAATGAGGATCTGTGTTTCTTAAAATGTCTTGATTCCTCCAACTATATTCAGTTTATGTTCACAGAGATGGGAAGAAACCATAAAATACATTTAGGAAGCTGCAATCACAGAATTTTGACAGTTTTTCCTGAAAAGGTTGATGTCTAGATCATTAACTGAGTTTCTGACTGCGGGTCAAACAGAAGAAGTCTTTCAGGAAATCTCTAAAATGTCAGAAAATGGTGAAAAATGCAGATTAGTGTTTCCCAAAGTCCAAGATGTATGAATGGATCAGCTGTTTGGTCTCTAAAATGTCAGAAAATTTGTCATAAATGTCAACTTGTGTTTCACAAATGTCTCGTTTTGTCCAAAGATATTCGGTTTACTGTCTCAGAGGAGGAACGAAACCAGAAAATATTCTTCAGTCACGAAAAATCTACAGTTTCCGCTTTAAAAAAATGAAGCTCTACATGTTTAAGTGTTTTTTTGAAGATTTCATGATGGATATTTTTACCGTCCTGTGACAAAACAACAACAATAATCAATCAAAAAATAATAATAAGCAGATGAATCACTTGTGGAAATAATTGCTCGCTGTTGCCCTTTAAGAGAAAAAATATAGATATGAAAATACAGATTCAAGGACAGGACTGCAAGTAATAATTATTGTCAGTTATTTTCTCGGTGAACAGATCAGCTGTTTGGTCTCTAAAATAAAAACATGCTGCTGTTAAGATACCAAAGAATTATCGCCCTTGTTGGGGGTAAACCAGTGGACGGTGGACCAATAAACTCACTGAGGGAGGCAGAGTCCACCTCTAATCACATCAAATCCAGTTTACTGTCATTCTGCTGCCAGTAGCACAGCGAGATGAGAGAGCTGCTCTACTGTACTACCTCCTCGTTATAAATACCCTGTTTACCTTCAGGGTAAAATCAGCGCTGCGGTTTCAGACAGCGGCGTCCATTGTGTTCAGTGTTGCTGCTGCTGTTTACGTCTTCAGCCACTAAACTGAACATGAGACAGGATGAGTCACGATGTTTGTGGCTTCTGACAAACAAATAGCAGTTATTCCAACATGCGGCCCGGCTAAATGAACGCGATTGTGTGGGAAGAGGCCAGACTGTGGAGATGTTCATATGCAGGGAGACGAAAAAATGACAATGATTCTGGCACAGAGAGGAGCTTCCCACATGCAGATCTGAAATGCTGTGTTGGTCTCTGCAGGTTGGCCCCTCAGTGCGTGGTGAACCCTCACCGCTCGGTGTTGGGGACGGGGAACTACGACGTCAACGTCATCATGGCGGCGCTGCAGAGCCGAGAGCTGGCGGCCGTGTGGTGGGACAAACGCCGGTGAGTGAGGCGCCAGGTCTGCACAAAATCACTGAAATGTCCGACTCACTTCTCAGTTCACCTCACATCCCTGAGCTCATCGTTTCATCTGGTCTCCTGTGGAAACATCGATCGCTTTGATCGGAGGTCGATGGTTAAAAGAAAAGAGTCAGAATATCAACATCTTAAATGTCTAAAATGCAAAACGGTCACTTTAATCCACCTGTGCTCACCAGTTCCTGTACAAACCAAAAACTTCTTCCCTCCTGGTTCCGACTGATTCTCCACGACTGACTCAGGTTGAACTGCAGCCAGAGTTTCCTCAGAGAGACTGAGAGCAAAATCCAACCTGCTGAATGAATAGCTGCAGCACGGATCAGAACCAGAGACCAGAGGAGCCAGTTGGTAGAGATACATTCAGCTGATGGAACATCTTTCTACATCTGATGGTGGAACATCTTTCTACAGCTGATGAGCTGAACAGAGAGGAAAAGTCTGTAGATGGTATAAAAAGGAAAATATTTCTTTTCAAAGTGACAAAAAATGTGTTTAAGATGACAAAATATCTTCCAGATTGACTCCAACTTTGTCCAAAGTGACTCAGAAATTACTCAGAAAGTTTGTCCAAACCGACAGATTTGTCCAAAATGACAAACGATTATTAGAGATGACTCAAAACCTGCAAATGTCTTAAAAAATTGTCCAAAACTTATTGGAAAAAATATTTAAAATTGGCTCAGGATCTGTTTAAAATGATCATGAGAGAATAATCCAACGTACTGGATCATCAGATCTCATCAGAGAGGAAGAGTCTGGAGAAGCTAAAACATGGAGATAGTTGAGTAGCTACAGTGTTGGAAACATCTGGACTTCTGATTCCAGGTGTGTCCTGCTGACAGAACATATCTCTGGGTTCTCTCTCCTTCTTGTTCTGGTTCCACAGAGCTGCAGGTCTTTATGTTGAACCACAGTGAAGGAAAACGTGACAGAAGCTGTTCGGGGTTCAGAGATTTAATCAGAGGACAAAGACATCTTTTCAAACCAGGCAGTAGAACATAATGTGGAGCTTCATGCAGCCTGAGGGCCTCCTCCACTGTAGATACGTGACTCACATTCTCGGCCTCTGAAGCGTCCACATGTCGCTTCGTTCATCGTTAGAAAGGTTCTCAGACTAACGTTCGTGCTTTCTCTCTGCCCCTCTGTAACCTGCAGGACGGTCCAGAGCCTGTGCATGCCGAAGGTCCAGGGCTTCATCCTCAACGTGCCATCTCGGGTCTCGCTGGGCATCGTGTCGCTGCCTCTGCGGCGCCGCCATTGGCTGGCGGTGCGGCAGGTGAACGGACAGTACTACAACCTGGACTCCAAGCTGAAGAGTCCGGTGTGCATCGGGGGAGAAGCAGAGCTACGGTGAGGCCCAGAACCCTCGGTGTTGTGTGTGTGCTGCTTGGCGTGAGGTCTGAACCCGGCCTGTTGTGCTGCTGGGTGCCGGTGAGTCATGGGTCACATGGGGCTGACTTCACTGCTGTGATGTCGCTGCTCTCTAGCAACGCTCTGACGGACGACATCACAGCGCCTCGGTCCCGCTGCCCTCCAGCTCGCTGCTCCCTCTAGAAGTGGTTTGACCGTTTCACTGGTCGCCTTTCAAGCTTCTGAGGCTCCGACTCTGACATAGATGTCAGAAGATCTTCAGCCTTCTTACTGTTGACACAAAAGTCCCTAAAAATCAGGTTTCCCAGAACTTTGAACCACATCTCAGCAGATAAAATCAGCTTCATCTATCTTAAATGGGTTTCTTTTAATTAAATATTTTCCCAAATACGTGTTGGGTTTTATGTTTCGGTCAGACTTATGCAGAGATGTTAATTAGATTTCAGGGTGACCAAGGTTTTGCCATCAGGACCCCTCAGAGAGCAGCTGAAGCAGCTGAATCACTTCTTCTTTTAATTCTCTAATTTTACAAACTTAAAAAAACCAACAGGCTTTTATGCTTGTTTTTAGTATTTTTATTATGTATTTATTTAGTATTAATGTCTGTCTATTAGAGATTTCTCTTCACTCTTTAATAAAACACTGGTGGATGCTGACCACCATAGCCTCTCCGACCAAAGAGACACAGTCAATGGAGGTGGTTTGCTATATTTATTCATTGCTTCATGTTCATTTGTCCATGGTTTTTCTAAATAACAAAACAATAACCCCAACACAAAATTAGTGACTAATCAACTGAAGAAAACATAACTAAACATCATCAGTAATTAAACCCCCCCAGAAATAAAGAAGAAATTATCTTACTGATCAGTCACTCATGGGTTTGTTGAAAAGGGATTCCCAGGGCACTTCAGATCTATGGAGAGATGTTTGCAGCTCACTGACCAGCCTCGAATGAATGCCACCAGCTCTACTTCTCTCACCTGATTTCAGTTGACAATTAAGCCAGACTTTGAGGCTCCAGCCCTCCACCTGTTTTGCATCCGGGAATCATGAGAGGCTTCAGGGCTCAGGTGTCCACCAGAGGCAGCCATGTCCCCATTGCCAACAGGGAATTTGTAACACTGTCCATTATTATTATTTCATTCATTCATTCATTCATTTATTCATTATTTGATACCTTCATGTTTTTATCCTCTCTTTTCCTCGACTCTAATCACAATCTGAATCCAGGTTTCAAGTCGGTGAGACTGCAGCTGGTGATTCGTGTCATTATTGACTATTTTCTAATTTAATTGATCAGATGTTTGGTTTGTAAATAGTTGACAACGCATTGATTAGTTTTCAATCTGTTGAACTTACAAAAGACCGAAATTCATCCTGATTCTAAAATCTGCTGGAGGCTGAACATCAGGATTCACTCATGAACTCGTCTAACAGGATTTAGGTTGGAGGTTTGGTGAAGCTTCATTCTAGGGCTGCAACCCGTTGATCATTTTCTGGATGAGCTGATCGGGTGTTTGGCCTCTAAGATGTCAGAAGACGGTAAAAAAAAGCATCAGTCAGTGTTTCCCAGGGTCCAAAATGATAAATGTGTGGTTTCATAGTTTCATCTTCAACTCAAAAATGTGAAATTAGGATGATAGGAAGCAGAAAAATCACCAAATCTTAAATTATTAGCTGCCATCAGGGCTGCAGCGAATGATTTATGTTCATTTCATTAATGAATCAATCAGCGGTTTGGACTCTGAAATGTCAGAAAACGTTGAATTATGTTGCTCAAACCCAAAGATCTTCAGTTTATTGTCAAAGAAGAGGAAAAAAAAACAGAAAATATTCACATTTAAGAGGCTGCATTTACAGATTAATAGTTAACTGATTAGTCGTTGCAGCTCTACAAACAAAACTGTTCCCACACAAGTAGAAGTCAGTTTAAAAGCAAAGTCTGCTTTAGTTTTTCCTTTGAAGCTTTTCTGGTGCTTGATTAGTTTCCACTGGTTGATGATTTTACTTCTGGACGTTTTGTTTCTCGCTGTTTGTCTGTAAACTCTAGAAACAGTCATCGTGACGACTGAACTTTTGTTCCAGGTCGTTTCTCAGCGAACAGCTTTCTCAGGACGTGGCCGAGATGCTGCTGGTGGTGCGGCGGGAGGTGGAGGAGGACGGCTCGTGGCTCAGCGCCGACAAGAAGTGACGCCTTCGGACCGGACGAAGGAAACTCCTCTGGGAAAATGACAGACTTTTTCTTTTTGTTTATTGTTTTTTTTTAAAAACAAACACCTCGTTTTAAGAAAATGTCTTCAGGGAATGCACTAAAAGAATCTGTTTAATATCGACACACAGAGGAAACCCAAAGAGAAGCAGAGGAGACGCCGCCTCCTCCACAACTGCTTGATTGTAACAGCTGTGACTCGTGTTGCTGCGTTTTCCAGCCGACTCTCGGTACGTTTTTAAGCCGCTTTCCGCTGCAGGAACTTGTAGGTTGTTTTGGGGCGAACCGAACCTTTTGGAACCGGTCCAGTAGAACCATTTTTAGGGAAGGAAAGAAAATTCTGAGGCACTTTTTTCTGTCTGTTCTCTTTAACACAACAAACCTCCGTCGTTGTTTCCAGGGATGCAAACGGCTCATTGTTCATCAGATTTAACTGCTTTTAGATCAAGTGCGTCGCCTTTAGGACTCATGCAGGTACAAAAGTAAAGCATGTGTTGGGTTTTATGGCTGGACTGTTTAATCTGAGGGTTGGTTCTGCGATGGTTTGGCTGCAAAACAACATTCAGAGGGAAAGATGGTCTGAAGTGACTGAGCTGGTTTTAAAACACGTGTCTTCCTGTGTTCAGCCCCAACATATATTTATTTAAAATGTTTTATTCAGGGCTGCAGGTGGATCAGTGGTTAGCACCGTTAGCGCCTCGCAGCTAGAAGGTCGCCGGTTCACGTCCCGGTGAGGACACCCGGGATCTTTCTGCGTGGAGTCTCCATGTTCTCCCCGTGCAGCGTGGGTTCTCTCCGGGTTCTCCGGCTTCCTCCCACAGTCCAGAAACATGCTGAGGTTAATTGGTGATTGTAAATTGTCCGTAGGTGTGAATGTGAGTGTGCTTGGTTGTCTGTCTCTAAGTGTAGCCCTGTGATAGACTGGTTACCTGTCCAGGTGAACCTGCCTTCACCCTGAGTCAGCTGGGATAGACTCCGCCCCCCATGACCCTGGTGAGGATTAAGGTGTAGATGGATGCAGCTGCAGCTAGAAATGAACACCTCGTTGTCCCACCTCGTTACTTTGGTCCGTTTGCATCCCTGTGCTTTCTGCATGGACCCGGAGCTGCCGTTAGTTCTGGTGGATCCTGAAATGCCGCCTCGAGTTCCTGCAGCGGAGACCCGCCTTTCCTTTGAACACTGTAGGAGGAGGATCTGAGCTGCGACTTCACCGCGGCTTCGTTTGATGACACTTTATTTGTAGGATGGTTTCGTGCATGACGAGCGGCGACCGGACGGCTTCTTTAACTTTCTATGCACTGCAGCGCTGGATGTCGTTTTGTCTTCGTGCTCGTACAGGCGCAGGTACCGTGAAGGCATCGCCCGGTGAGGCGTTCAAGGACCACGCCGGTGTTTCTGCACGTTTCGTTCCGTTGGCTGCACGTGGCTGCGTTTCCTGTTTGGCGTAGATGTGACCCGTCGCTGCGAACACGCTGCCGCCGCCTTCTGTCGTAGTGTTTTGTGATGTTGTGTGAAGATGTGGTGAAGCTGACGAATGCAGAAGTCGACGTCGTGTTCATGGCGACGGATCGCGTTCTGAGTCCAGAGCTGCAGCTAACGATCGGTTTGACTGTCAGTCGCCTATTTTCTTGATTAATCGATCAGCTGTTGAACAAAAACGATATAAATGTCTTATCTTATGATTGTAGTTTAAACATCTCATGTGCTTCAGCTAACGAACAGTTCAGTTCATTATCTCACCTTCGCACCTGCAACACCAGAAGGTCATTCGCTGGTACGTCTAAAACAACCAGGTAGAGCTGATGATTCTGTTAACGCAAAGTTATTCATCCAGCGTGTTCACCTTTTAATGAGCGCTGCCATCGGGGCTGCAGCTAACGAGTTATTTTCATTTTATTAATGAATCAATCAGCTGTTTGGTCCCTAAAATATCAGAAAACGGTGAAAAATGTCGGTTAGTGTTTCCCAAACCTAAAAATACTCAGTTTACTGTCAAAGAGGAGGAAAAAAAACAGAAAATAGTCACATTTACGAAGCTGGAATCACAGAATTTAGCCCGTTTTTATTACTCAGTGATTGATTGAAAAAATATCTGTATTACTGGATAAGATAAAGAAAAAAAAAAGTCACATTTGAGAAGCTGAAAATGGCTTTTATTTTGAAAAGTGACTTAAATTTAGTAAAAGAATAAATTTTTCAGTGTTATTAATATTATTAATATTATTATTAGAGCTGCAGCTAATGATTATTTTCACCGTCAGTTCATCTGTTTATTATTTTCTGGATTAATCGATGAGTTATTTGGTCCCTAAAATGTCAGAAAATAGTGAAAAATGTCGACCAGTGTTTCCCAAACCTAAAGATATTCAGTTTACTGTCATAGAGGAGGAAAGAAACCAGAAAATATTCACATTTAAGAGGCTGGAATCACAGAATTTAGACTCTCAAACCGATTAATCGACCATCAAAACAGCTGACGATTAATTTAACAGCTGAATCGTTGGAAGTGAAACTGATTTAAAAGCAAAGTTTTGAGGAACGTCGGCTGCGTTGAAGACGTGCAGAAACGCCGGCTCTGACTGTCTGTCGTGACTCGTGTCTGTCGTGTCTCTCCTGTTGATCTATGCATATCCACAAACACACTAGTGACTAACGCTCACGTGAACTCAGAGGCTCGTAACTTATTTATATTAAACCTTTTTCGTTTTCTCTGCTGTGTGCGTTCTTGACTCGGAGACAAGACCAGCGTCGGGTTATTGAAGTTATTTTTATTTATATTAGACTCTCGAGTGTAAAAGGATGCCATTCAAAAGGAGCATTGGTAACCATACAAACTCAATTCAAGGGTTAACAAGGTCAGTCGGCGAGGACGAGGACGAGGAGGAGGAGGAGGAGGAGGAAGGAGGAGGAGGAGGAGGAGGAAGGGGGATTCGATGAAATCTCAAACCGAACCATATATACACAAAACATCTTGGAGAGATCTCAGAAACCCGATGCTATACATAGTTATTATTGCTAGTTACGGTAGGGCTACTGCAGCACCAGTAGCAAGGATCATATTGCTATGTACCTGCTGTCGTTGCATGGGATTTGTAGTCCTCCACTCCCCGGACTCGAGTGGCAGTTTGTAGTTCTCCGTTTATTCATTAAAACAGGGTCTTTGTAGCCCTCTGGTATTTTTTTCTTTTCTTTATAAGAGCAAAAGGTTCATGATTATTCAGATATTATAGACAGTGAGATATACAGAGTACCATAAGGTAATACAAGGAAAATACAGAATTGCCACCTATAAAAAGTAATAATAATAAAAATAAAATCATACCAAGTGAAGGAACTGCATAACCATTCACAGAGAAAAAAAAAAGTGTCGTGTTGCTACGTGCCAGTGCTTTTCTACAACAATATTCATATAAAAACTTGAAAATAAATCGGTGGTACGGATACATTTAAGAATATAAAACTACAACGTAGTAACGTCAATACCGTTCTGACTTACCTCACCACTGTTCACAGTTTACACAGAGTCTGGACAAACAAGGGAAAGAATTTAGAGCGGCCGCATCGGGAGCCGCTTCGTTTTTAAGTGCTTTTCATAGCAACACTCAGTGGTATCGACGTTACGCACTTCACACCTAGCATTCATTTTATTTAGATTAGTTTCTTTTTCATTAAAGTGTCCATTCATATGAAAACTAAACATTTTTTTTCTATACATTTTTTCTAACAAAAAAGAAAAAAACAAACAAACAAAAAAATCAACGTGAGTACAGGTTCCTCGAATGGGCGGGGTTGGGGTGTGATTGACTTCCCCCGTAACCAGTCAGCATGCTGGGAGAGTACTGCACTTCCACAAGTCGTCCAGCAGGGGCGGCGTCGAGGCGGTCCGCGGGGGCAGGAGGCAGAACAGAAGAAGGATGATTATTTACTCAGGAGAAGAAAAACTCAATCAAGAAAAAAGCACTTTGAGTCGCTATCTGACCAGCAGGAGGTAAAACCCAGAATCTAACATGAAAGAAGCGTTCACGCACACAAAGGTTTTGTCCTGGGCTTTCAACCGCATCTCATGGTCTTCCTCAGCAGCTGGACTCCAAACTCTACCTGCCGAGGACGACTGTGAAATGCAGCTGAGAGCTCCGGAAAACTCAAGTCCCTTCAAGTTTTCCTGTTCAGGATCAACGCACTAAAGGTACGACGCTTAAAGCAGCTGCTGATCATCGTTTTTCTGAACGAGCTTTTTTCCCGAGCTTTCGGCCACGTGTCATAGTTTTCATCGGTTGCCATGGAAACAGCTAATTGATCTTCCTGAGGCTTTATCAAACTTCACCCGATCAGATCAAAAACTGGGATCACATTTGCAGAAAAATTTAAATTTAAGTGTCAAAATTTAACACGAAAACTTTGTCGAAATATGTGTTTACTTGTGTTTTATGTGTTTAATTACAAAAAAACGTTTCAACATTTATCCCTCACTGCTGATTGGCTGCTGCCGCTGACGTGGAACCAATCAGATCGAGCTCCGGGTGGGACGCTGATTAGAGCGCAGACGGAGGCCAAAGCAGCTCTTCTTTTAAATGTTATTTAGTTTTTTGGAAACTTAATTTAAAAATTACCATTTCAATAATTGGAAAAATCTGATCTGAACATCAGTGTTTATGAAAAACAGCCCCAGAAAAATCCCAGGGAGAAAACCTGGAGCGCTTTCAGACTTTATTCTGACCATTAGTGAGAATAAAACACAAAGAGGTCTTAAACTCAGGTGAGTAAACAAACAGTTCAGTGGTTCACGGTCAGACGTCGACAGACAGATTTCAAGTTTTAGTGAAATTAACGAGTTTGATTGTCATGCTTTAGGAAATTAAATAAAATAATTAAATTCCTGCATTCAGGTGAATTATTTCCCTCAATTTGTTTATTTTTAGTACCAATTAATGCACTGTTTTAGTTTTATTTTAAATGCTTTAACAGTTTTTCAGGTTTTTCATTGAGAATTTAGAATTTTTTTTAGATTTTCCCTTTTTTTTTAACCCACACATAATATCTAATGAAATACACATATTAAATAAAATTATTTGAATTTTTTTTTTTTACGTTAACCGTGAAAAACTTTTTTTTTTTTAATTTATTTTATTTTTTTAACAACATTTGACTTTAATTATTACATTCCTTTTTTGTACTTATGCATTTTTCTTAATGTCATTTATTTTTTCTGAGCAATTTTTGGCAAAATAGTTTTTTATCTTTTCTCATTCAGCAGATATTTGAAAGGAAAACTGTGTCCATTAAGGAGTAAAAAATGGTAAATCCTTTAAAAAACTTTACAGATTTTCTCTGTTTTTGTTAAATTACAGTAAAAACCAGTAACAGAGAAGAACTGTGAGTAATGTCCACATCAGAAATCTGTTCTTTCGCGATGTGAGATCATAAAATTACAGCGTTTTGCTCTTTTTAAACCAGATTTTTGTTATTTTTATCACAACAGTTTTTAAATGTTGCAGCATTAAACCATTTATCATAGTTTTTTTTTGTATCCTTGTCCAGATTTTCAGTTTTCTTTGCAGATTTTATTTGATTTTTTTATGTACCAGTTCTTTGGAAGACGACCTGTTGGATGAGCTGTC